CAAAATCATACCATTGCTTGTTAGTGTTTTTAACTCCCACGTCACATAAATTGAGGTTATATGGTTCCTTCTTGTTTTCTGTTTCTTGAAAGTCACTCTTCTGGCTGTACTCAGAAGTATGACTGTCAGCCTTCAACAAAACCGTGATTTTCAGTTGCTGTCTTCCCAAATCTGGAGGTCACAAACGTGACACTGATTCTCAACAAATGTATTTTACAGATTGTTCTGCAACTGTTTTCAGATTTGCCCATCTCTATAATTACTCATTCACGTGAGACACTTAAACATTTGCAAGAAACAATTACTCCTACCAAAAACAAACAAACAAAACCAACAAAACAACAACAAAACAACCAACCAACCAACAACAACAAAATCCCACAAGCAAGCAAGCAAACACAAAAAGCTTAAAAAAATAAACACCCACTGTAAAGATCTTGAATTTATAAGGCTTTATTGATAGGTTAACAACTTGTCTATTTATATTAAAAGGTCCCCCATCAGCTTTGCTGTGCCTAGCGGCATGCTCTTCCAGATATTGTGTTTATCCTTAATAAAACAATAGATTTGATTTTCCAGTTCGCCACCTAGCTGCTCCACAAAGAGAGGATCAGTTTGATTCATAGAGTTAGACCCTGAGCCCCATCTAAAGCTGCCTGGAATTTTCATTTTTTATGTGTGGTACGATTTGAATGATTCCTAGTATGTTGGACTTTGAGACTCAAAGGGGACACAAAAATATGTGTCTACTAGTAATTTATTTGCACGGAGTCTGGCTTGCCTTTGGCTCAGTTTGGATTTGTTCCTTTCTTTCTTCTTGTTCTCTGCCGTCCTCACTGTCGGGATGATTTGCAGTTCCTTTGCCTCATTCTCACTAACGTTTCCCCATCATCTGCCAGACACCTGAATCACCCATGCAATGAGCTCAGCTACTCATTTCAGAGCTGGAGATAGATATAGACTAAATGAGACTAAATCACCTCAGAGCCGTGTGATGGGCGGTGGGGAGCACAACCCAAAGCCGTCCTCTGGGAAGGGGCAGGGTAGGGAGCTGCAGCCACGGCAGCTGCATAGCTCCCTGCTGGGAGTGAGGCACCCAGCTCAGCCACGAGAGCGTGGCTGCCGACCCCTCTCAATTCACACTTTGTTTAACGGCCTTGCACTGCTTGCACTAAGTACTTTTTTATAGGTGTCTTCTTCCACAAAGAAATTAGGGCTTCGTCCTGCTCTTCCCAGTCCTGTTGGTATAAAACTGATAGCAAAACCTCGGAGAGAAGAGGCTCTCTGAATATACATGACTCTTGGATGTACTTCTATCTCCCGGGAGGTGACACGTGCACCTCCAGCAAGGACCAGGGAGATGACAAGACCTCCAAAGGAAAATCAAGCATTTTGATTAGCAGAGCTGGCTGTCCCCTGGGCTTGCTGCTGGCTGAGAAGCCAGTCACCTCAGCCATGGCAAACGTATTGGGAGGGAGCTGAGCTGGATGCCCATCCACTGGGCATCTGCACCCTCCCTGTTTCCCTCCTAGGAAACTTAGCAAGTGGGAAACAGCAAGCAAGGGGAGCTGGACTATTACTCTCCTTGTCCGTCTTTATCCATCTGGGGATAGAAAGAGGCTAACAGGAGGGAAGCTGTCATCTGCCATAGCTACAGGTGGACATGATAACCTCCGGGAGTGAGAAGGAAATCCCAGTGCCCTTCTCTCATACTCCTTCTCATACCAACCCTGTGGTACTGGGGTGAAACAGTCATGGAGGGGGAAGTAGGGGCTGTAGAACTGCCCAGGGCACTTCGTCCCCGTCTCCGTGGCAGCCTTCCTCACCTTTCAGGGGACTTTGAGTTTCTGTAGATGTCTCTGCGACCCCCAGGTGTGTATGAGAGATGAATCGGAGAGGGACCGCACTCCTGTGAATATGCTAGAAAAGTTTCCCTTGGAAATGATCCCCGTGGACAAACCTCCTCCCTTCTCCACTCAAGCTATAAAACCCTTGGGACAGGGAGCTCGTCCTGTCGAAGCAAATACACACCAAAAAGGCAGCTCCACGCCGGGGGAAGGAGCTATTTGGGAAACGTGTATCTAAAAACAGGGATAGAGCTCCCCAAGCAAAGTCTCACTAGAGATCACTCGGCATCACTGGGTATGGATGCTGTTTCGTTTGGAAATCTCTTCGTTGAAAGTTGCTGTCTTTGCTTGCCCTCCCCTGGAGCGACTCCCAGTCCCTCCGCGGGAGGGGAAGATCAGCATGAGCAAATATTCGCTTCCTCACGCGCTTTCCTTTTTTTCTGCCAGCAAAGTGCTGAGTGCTTTGTTCTGTGCTTTTACGAAGGATTTATCTCTACATCTGTTTAGTGCACTGTAAATGACTCGGCTCCCCCGCCCTCCCTCCTCTTGCACGAGACGGGGGCCGGGGAAAATGCATTTTAAATGTTTTAAGCTGAGAAGAGGCATTTTTTTTCCCCTCAGGAGGTGTGTCTAGCACGCAGTGCTCTAAAGAGAGGAGCCGGTAATAACAGATGTTCTGTCAAACTTAAAAGGTGCCGCTTACCACGGAGTCACCGGGTGCCATCAAGATGTATCTGCCGAGATTGATTAAGAGCCGAGCTCCGCGGGCTCAGAGAGGCAGCGCTGCTCACACGCGTATCGGTGGGGGAATCTCCGCTCTCCCCGGGCGGGCGCTGCAGGCACGGCACGGTGAAGGTGAGGGTCACACGGCAGGGTTTTCAGCACTGGGCTTTATTTCCTTGGGAGATCACAGGGGGGATGCTTGCGAGGAAGGGAGGTGCTCCCCGACTCGGGTGAGGTTTGCAGGGCGGAGGATGCCCCTCCAGCGGTCCGAGCTTTGCAGCCGTGAAAACCACACGGCTCTGAGCAGCGTGGCATTGGGGAGCCCCCTGCAGCTGGGTAGAGCCGCGCCGAGCCCCAGTCCAGCCTGGAGCTACCTCCCGCCTTGGCTCCAGCCGTGCTGCTGGACATGGACCCTGACCCGACACCTCTGTCCTTCTTCTGCGGTGGAGGGAGAGCGGGAGGGAGGAAGGGGAGTCCCCAAGTCTGCCGTGTACTGCCAGGGTCACCTCGGGACAGGGCCGCCACCCCCTCCCTGCTCCCCACTGAGGGAAAGGCTGACTCGTGCTCGCAGCGACTGAACTCTAATTAAATCTCCAGAAATCAACATGCTCAATCAAACACTCGCGACCTCGCTGGGAGGGGAAAAAAAATACCCAACAATAACAATAATAAGGGGAAGAGGAGGCGGACGTTGTCACTTTTGAGGCTGCTGATCATCCTGATTAATGAATGTTAAAGTATATTAAGTGCCAAGGTCTCAGAGACAGCCCGTGGGAGGCGCACGGGGTGGTCGGGGCTGAGGCTGAGGCTCCGTCTGGCAAAGGAAGGGGCACCCAGACTACGGAGGTGGTTGTCCGCTGCCCCGGCGTGGTTGCACCTGAGGCGGAGCAGTGCCACGGGGCCGCAGACTGCTCATGGCATGCTTCCAACCTCCCAGTGCCGCACATCATCTGAGCTGCTGGGATAGCTGTCTCCTAACCCTGAGCTGAAGTCCAGGCAAAATTTTCAGTGAGGGCTAAGGAACCGAGAGGCAGAAGTCAGGTCCCAGCTGCCTTGATGCTCCCGAAGAGCTACAAGTGATTCAGCCCTTAAAAGTGTTTTCAAGTACAGAAACAGCCTCGTATAACACTGAAGCAGATGTACACTCAAATTTCAGAGCTGCCCACCTCCAAATTAGCTGGTAGCAAGGGACCTAAAAGATCACCTAGTTCCAACCGCCCTGCTATGAGCAGGAACACCGTCCACTAGACCAGGTTGCTCAGAGCCACATCCAGCTTGGCCTTGAACACTTCCAGGCAGTAATCCTACCCTGAAGGCACATCACTCTCTTTGGGGTAAATCCACCCCTCAGATCCTTCCAGGAGCAACAGCTAAATGTATGTGAGTAGTATAGACAGCTCTCAGCCTGGGGTAATCTCAGGCCAAGAAATACTTTCTGCAAAGTGAAGGGGTTTTTGGAGTGGAGAGGAGGGAACTGTTTGGGTTGTAGCTCCCTCAGCCCTTCAAGACAAGAGATGAAGCAGGGGAGGTAGTAGGCAAAAGCCAGGGTCAGCTTCATAAAGTGCACCTCTCTCTTACTAACTTACCATTTCTCCCCTACTATTCTTTGGACAATGGATGAGATGGGTTCCACTCTCCTGCTTCCCGGTCCAACAGCCCCTATCCCAAGGGAAAAAACATCCCTTCAGACCACAAATAAATTCTGGTCCAGGAGAGAGGCAAACAAAACCAAAGGAAATATAAATATTTTTTATATCTAGATTATGTCCATAGAACTGGCAAGTTGTCTTGGGCAAAATAAATACTTCTTAGTCTAGTGACTATTAATTAAACAGGAATGCTTTACACCTTATAAGAATTAACTCTTGTTCTCAAAATATGTCTGTTTCCCCTAATTCATTCGTCATTGTGCTAGGGAAGTACCTTCCATTAATATTTCAGCCCAATAATCAGTTGAAAAAACTGAACTGGATTTAGTGTAACAACATTTTTCCACAGTGTGTGGAGATTCTGATGATTGCAATAATCTAGAAGCAAGATCTCTTTCTGTCTTTCTCCTCTCTTACATTGCTTTAGACTTACAGCTATCACGGAACTGGGAGAAAAAAAAAAAAAAAAGGAAAAAAAAAAGAGAGAGAAAGAAGAGAGTATTGCAGGGAAACATGGGGAAAGGGTAATCGGTAAAAAAAAAAAAAAAAAAAGAAAAAAAGCGTTTCTGATGTGCAAAACGTAGATAAAGACTTCTGATGAGAAAGAGGGGAGTGCCTGATGAGGAAGAGGGGAGAGTGTGTTGAGAGATAACAAGAACCAGTAATTTCTATTCAGCAAAGCCACCAAATCAGAGAGCAGTGCTGATCTTATTGGAGGAGAGCCTTCAACAGCAACTAATCCTGTCATATTGAAAGAAAATTGTAAATGTTCTCTGCAGAAATTGCCTGCCCATTGCAGCTAATCGAGCCCACTTCGCGCTCACACACACCACACACCCCCGCACAGCCCCACAGGCGGGCAGCAAGCGGACCCACAGCCGCAGCACCCCAGCAAGGACATTCGCCCGAGATGCTCACCTAGGCATCCCACTTCCCTCGCTCGCCACCACCACAACGAAGGTGGCAGCTTACCCCCATTTCCTCAGGAGCTCTGGGGGAAGTATGAATTATTACCAGCTCACTTGAGAGTCCCGGCTTCACCTGTTTTTAATTACTTCAATTTCGTCCAAACCTTTAAGCCAGGTTTGATAGCACTAGTGCTCTAAATTTTTTTTTTTTTTTTAAAGCTCAGCGTGGCTGAACTGAAGCAGAGACTCCCAAGGGTCGGAGCTGCCGAGGGTGTGCGTGTCTATGTGTGTGCCTGTGGGTGTGGGAGGCAGAGAGGGAGCGAGGGAGAGACAAAAACTCCATCAGCCCGGACAATGCCACATCTTGTTTAAAGCTTCCAAACTGTTATTCTTTCCCCCCATTATCACGGTACCAAGTAATCTGTCTTTCCCCCACCCCAACCCCCCTCCCTCCTCTTGGAAGATATGGAAGAGGAAGATAAAGCGGCTGGCTGCTGGCTCTGACGGCGCGCAGCCCGCATGTCTCCGCCACCACAGCCAGGGCTGCCGAGCGAGCCGCTTGCAGCGGGATGGGATGCGACTTCTGCTAATTGGATCACAGGTAGGAAAGCTTTGGGTTTTACTGACGTTTCCTCTTTCTGTCTCTCTTTCTTTTTTTTTCTCCCCCCCCTTTTTCTTTCCATGTATTTTTTTTGTCTTTTGGTGTGTTTTTTTTTTCTTTCCTTTTCTTTCACGTCCTCTACCCTCCGCCCCTTCCTCGCCGCACATAAGATTTCATCCGCTGCTGTCATAGGAAAGCTCCCGCCAAGAAAATAATGTCTAAGAAACGAGCTTTTGCTTCCTGGTAGAAGAAGCAGAACAGACCATAGGGAAACTTTTGCTGAATAGGTGCACAGTTGTGCGGGTCACCGGGGAAAGGCAGCGAGAGCAGAGAAAGCAAAGCGATTGCCCCCAGCGCAGAGCCCTTCTCTGTTGTGTTACAGTTGCGATATTAATACCCATAACCGAGGCCTGACATGGTATAGCGGGGAACGAGAGACGCAGCAGCCTGGTTAGAGAAATCCCGACATTTTTCAAGCGCTGTCCACAGGGTGTTTTTTTTTTATTATAAATGCTACATTCCGACACGGGAACATCTCCTGGACTACCCTTCCCAAATTCCGCTGTGACATGTTTGTTGACGACTCCTGCAAAATGTCAGCGGGAGCTGGGAGCGGAGCCGTCCCCGGGGAGCGGAGCCCGCCCGCGGAGCGCGCTGCCTGCCGGGCGAGCAGGCAGGGACGGGGTGGGTGCTATCCCTGCCCCGCCGGGGACCAGGAGGGGTGCGGGGTGTAAGGAGAGGAGGCTGCTCCTGTGTCGGTGCCGTCCCTCGCCCCCCAAAATCCCTCCTCTGCCCGGGATCAGCGCCCGTTTCCTTTGCCTCAGGTCTCATGTCCTGCCGCGGGGAAGGAGAGCGCCGGCTGCAGGCGCCGCCTGAGGTGGGAAGGGGATGGGGTTTCCCCGGCTCATTTCCGGCCCCGCTTCCCCGCGTCCTTCCCCCTGGGGTCCGGTCCACGGACCAGGAAGTAGGGCGCTGCGGGAGAGGATGCTCCAGGGCCGGCTCCAGCTCGCCCCTCTACCCAGGTCCGGCTGAGACCCCGGCAGGGCTGTGTCCGTCCCGGCTGTGCCTCCGGGCTCCCTTGCCTTTCGCCCGTGCCGCCGCCACGGGGTGTTTGTGGCCTGAAGGAGCGAGCTGATACTTTGAGAGGGAGCTCAGATCACGCTGTGGGAGAAAAATTGCTTCCCAGAAACATTTCTGGGACACGGAGGTCGTGGTGCAGCCCCAGAGTTCGGTCGCATCGGGGGTTCTGAAGGGGCAAAGTGCTTTCCGCTTCTCGGGCAAAAGTCGATCCTGGCCATTCCTCCAGCTAGGGCCACTCTTCGCTTCGCACCTTCCCACCACTCCGTGCCCCGTGCCGTGCTCGGCGCACCTGCCCCGCACCTGCCCGAGCGCCGGGCTGATGGGCGAGCAGGCAGGCTGGGAGCTGCGGGGCTGGCTTTGCTCATCTGATCGTCCCCCTGCGAGGCAGCCGGGCCGGAGGGCCCCTGATCAGAGGTGCTCCAGGAGGATAGCTGTGCCCGCTGCCAACTGCGAGGGGAGGTTGTTAGGGCTTGTGACTCACTCCCACTGGTCTGTGGGTGAATCCTTACACCTTCTCTGGATAAAGGACGAGGGATGCTTCCTCCCACCCGTGTAAGATTGTTTTTTTTCCCCTACTATTTAAATTTGCTAAAGTTCCTTTTAGGGCAGGGAGAGACAGCTTTTTCCCAACTGGCAAAGGACACTGGGAAAGGGGTAATTCTTGTTACAGATCTAGCCAGAATAACATCTGTCCCCATTTTTCTGTGTCAACCAGTGTGTTTGCACACACTGGCTTGTCCTTGTCCCTTAAAGAAGATCTCTTTGCAGAAGGGAAAAGAAAAAAAAAAAGTCTAACCTCTGCTTGACAGCCTGTTTTTTGCAGATTTTGGGGGGGAAATACCAAGTCTAAAACAAACAAAAAGACCAATAATAAGGAAGGTTAATACAGGAGATCACAAGTATGCATGCTTTCTACTTTTATGGTATGGCATTACTTGCAATCACAGCCCCTGTCTAAATACACACCAGCTTTGATTGCATGGTTTATGACACCAGCCGCTCTCAGTGACTCATCTATAAACCTCTTTAAGCTACATACAGTACGCTCCCTCTCTCCTTTAAGATCTTTTTGAGTATAAGTTTGGTTGAACTTCTTTGCAGGACACCTGGTCTACCAAAACAGCCCTGTTTGCTTTTTAATCAGGAGAGTGATAAGTGCAGTGGGCTCACTGACTTGATGAGCATGTGTCTCACTGAGCTGCCCTCTCTGCCCCTGCCCACAGCACGCTGTGATTTCTGCACTGCAGTGTGCCTGGGAATGAGACCCAGCACATGGGGAGGGGAGGTCTAGGACATCCCCAAGTTGCTTTGGATATAGGGCAAAATTACAAAAAGGAGAGGTCATGCTTTTCTCCCATCCAAGCCCAAGCTTTTAAATAGTATTCTCTACCCAAAAGGTTGTAACTCTGCATTTGGGCAGAGCTCAGGGAGATCCAGACCATGTGTTATCAAGATGTCCTCAGGAGGTGGAAGGAACAGCAGACTAGCCATGCTTAGCTGTTGCCCAGGATGGAGACTAAGACACAGAAAGGGGGAAACTGAAGCCATCAATTAAAAATAGAGTTTATGAATGAATTTTTTTTTTTTTTTTTGAGTGTTCAACAGTGTCCAACTGTCATTTTGGTTGTCACCTCTGGGCTGACTCCCCACATGTATTTCATGGTTCTGAGCTGCTCTTTCAGCCCACTGGATGTCTCATTCAATAGACTTTTGAAGACATCTACTATGAAATCCCCCACTGCTGTTAATACAGTCCCAGGAGGTTACTCTGCCCCGCTTCACTCCTATAACCCATTCACCCAGACTTTCTCTTCTCCACTAATATTACGACCTACATGCAAAAGACTTATTTTCTGGTCCCGTTTCCATAGCAATGCAGCATGGGGAACGCAGACAAGCCAGTAATAATGAAGCAGATCCTCCTTCTGTGAAATCAAGATCTCTTTGAAAGTTGAGTTCAATGTAAGGGAAAGAAGGGATCCGCGGAGAGCTGGATTTTCAGCCCAAAGTCCAGATCTCCGCGCCCTCTAGTGCCAGAGGCAGGCGCGGAAGAGCATCCCCGGGCATAGGGAACGTCTTCATTGCAAATTAGAGGAGAGGGAGAAAATCGAATGGTATGCGATAAGACCATTCCACTCAATGTCTGTTTCCATCCAAATATTGTGTCTTCTAAATCCAAAACTGGGGAAAAAAAAAAAATATATATATATATAAAAAAGGGCGGGCGGGGCTCACCTGATCCTGGTTTGGTCACCCGGAGATCAAAGCTGGGGTGGGTTAAACTATAGAGCAATGAGGAGGCAGAAATTAGAGCTGGGAAGCCAAGGCTATATGTGGTCATTTATTGAGAAATTTTGGATCTCTCTGGCTTTGAGCTTCACAGCTTGAAACAACTTTCAGCTAATTCTGAGAGATTTGAAGGCACAGAATAGGATTACTCACTTGTGAAACTGCTGCCCTGACCTTATACAGACTCTTTAGGTGGGTGGATGGGTTAGGCAACAGTAATCAGGCTAAGGAAAGCTGATGGAGCTTAGATCCAGCTCATGTGAATGACAGGGATAACTTTTTCACAAATGCTTGTAGCCTTAAATCTTAAAAAGCTAAAATTGTATGTTGGTATTTAATATATGGTAGCATGAATTTGTATGGCAGCATTTCAAGCCCTGTTAAACCCATCTTAGAGATTCTCATCTCTAAGATCCAGGCTGCACAAAGAACCAAGCACTGAGAACTTCTGTAGTTAAATGAGACAACTGGCACACTCCCCACACGCTACCCTACCCACCTTTTCCAGTTTCTATCTTTTGGCAAAGGTAGCTTTCAGTTTTGCTGGGGCCTCCACAGTTTTTACTGGGTCAGAGCTGCCCAAAAGATACCATTACCTACTCTCTTGTCCATATTCCACCAGCTGACCGCACGCCACTTTTGTCTAGCAGATTGCATTCCCTAGCTCTCCGTATGAAACTGAGTAGGGATATCCCACTGCCTTCCTACATTTCCCTGATCGAAGAGGGCAAAATTAAGAGTCAAGACCACCTCTGAAGTTGCATTAAAGGGCTGTCTCCTTTTCCCATGGAGCCTGAGCTTGTTCCTATGTAAAAAATGCTTTAGGCTGTGGAATTGCTTGTTGTTTTGGACTGTCTGTCCTACCTTTAAAGCTATACTGTACATCTAACACTACCTATTCCCCATAGAGGGGCATATGTATCAGCAGGTGTTCCAAAGAGAGATCTCTTGTATAACATCATTTTAAGGCTCAAGAAGATAGGACAGGTTGAAGGGAGTTTCATCTCATTTCCATCAAGCACTTCCTAAAGAATGTTTGCTAGTGAGACTAAGATATGCAATAAGATTTAGTTTTTGGTTGTGTTCAGTAGTCCATGTGCTTCATGGATTCATTTTTAAGAATGTGATAAGGATAAAATGAATCTGACCCTCATTTAGGTCCAGCTGCTTTGCTTGGTCTTCTGCATGTTTTCTTTTTGATGGGATGGTTCTCTGATTCCGGCATTCCTGTATCTCTTTTGATTCCATGGGCTAGATTCTGATCTTAATTACCTTCTTTCAAATCAGGGGTGCCTCCACTGATTTTAATTGCGTCTGGTTTATTTTAGTGCAATTGAGCTCAGAATTTGACTTTCACAGAAACATAGTAAGTGTTGTAATTAGAGTATGCCAGTGTTTTGACAACTGTTCATGGAACAGCTCTGTTTCATCAGACTCTGTTGAAAAGGAAATGCAATGTGATAATGGGCATTGGGAATAGTAGGGGCACCTCTCACAGTGACGGCAATAAAGATCTCTGTGAGTGGCCACAACACAAATAGGCAAGAAATTCTGTAAATCAGCATTTCTCAGGGTTTTTCTCAAGCTCTTAGGAAGGTTCTAAGTGAACTTGGGCAGGTGTGGGTTTTCTT